CCCCCCCCCCCCCCCGTTTGAGTACTGCAATACTCAGCAGCTCCCTTTGACAATTCCCCTCAAAACCCGGGTTATGTTGTACCTCGTGCAGGCATGTGTTCAAAAGCAAAGTTCGTCCGCCTCGTAGACATCGCTTACTTAAAGAGCTCTCTCAAGCCCATTGGTTTGCTATTTCGCTGTGCTCGCAGCAGATGATCAACCCATTCCATCGCAGTAGCACAGTAGTCTTACCCCTCGAAAATGTCTACTCTATGACATGAGGCGTGTGCTGAAAGCCTAGTCTTACGCATAGCAACAAAAGTAGCGCAAAAAAGTAGCGCGTCTGTTCGTGCAACAAGGACCGACGGTTGAACCCGTCTCCAAGTCAAAAGTTGGGCATGCATCATGCATACCCCACAGGCAGTTTTTGTGTGTAAACTCTGATCGGGGCTCCTCCGGTTGAGAGGCAAGGCGATAGGGTAACTGCTGTGGTCGAAACGTGGACTGCGAGCGACGGTACATGACATGTAAACTGGTATTACTCTGACGGTCTACCTACCTCGATATTTTCGTCCTAGACTACATGTACAGCAGTAGTTTTGTACGCTGGAAAATAGCAGCGCGAGCAGTCAGAATTGCAGCACGACTGACTGTCGTCCTCTACAATTTGTCCAGGGCTGTCCTGTTGGATACATATGAGCAGCTCCATAAGACCTCTGAGGGATGGTGTCCACGATAGAGCTCCACATGGCGGCATGACACGACGTTTGGTGCTGTCATTGTACTGGACTTGTACATTACATGTTGCACCGAAAAAAAATATATAACGCACTTACAAATGTACAATGCATACCTGGCCCAGCAGAGCCACCGGTAAGAACGAGTAAGGCACCCAATAGTGTCACCATGGTCAGAGGGGCCAAGGAACAACACGTGACCCCCTTCAGGTTCGTGGTGGGTATCAGGGATGCGAAGCCACCCTCCGTGAGCTCGTGGGGGACACACGGCTGTGTGTAGGTACGGTGGGTGCCTCGACGAGAGAACCACGCATGCACTGGGCACCAACCAAGCCGGACCTGGCCGGACCGTCTGACCGTGCCGTGGTGTCGCTCAGCGGTGTCAGCACAGGAGAGCAACGCTGAGGCCAGTAAAGTCTGCCACACACAGAGAGGAAGGGGACTGAGAGAGAGAAAGAGAGAAAGAGCCAGTGGTAAGTGGAAATTGGGTTTGCAATGGTCACTACAGCAAGGTGTTCTTAATGAAACAGAGCGTGATTTTCGCGAAGGATTAAACATTCCCAAATTCAAATTTCGTTTGAAATCCACCCTGCCCGGCTCTCTCTTCTACGGCGTGGTGACTGCGTGTGTATGCTGTAGACTACAGATTGCATAGTGTAGGACCATCGTTCGGCTTACTGCCTGGTAAATTTCGCACGAACTGCACTTGGCTGGCGATATAGGACTCCAAAGCCCCCTGTCGTTACCAACTGCCGTACAGAGTAACATGACAGCAGCGGGCAGAGTGGGTGATTCATGTATCCATGCTTCTCCATACATCGCAATCGTCGCAACGTAGCCGCTTACTACCACAACTTGAGCACACAACAACACAACACGTGGATTCTTGTGCGAACGTTGTCCAGCCGCTTTTCTTCCGAAAATACCTACTTAGTCGCTGCCGCGGTTCGCTTCGATGTTCATTACAGTAGCATTTGAGCTGCATCTCAGCGAGGAGGCATTTCGCCACTTGCGCGCATGTATAGCAACACCCGGCCGGAGGCAGTGTGGAACCTCGTGCCTCCAGGGAGGCCGCCTTCAGGACCGGCACTTTACACCCAGGTGGGGCGACAGGCCGCCACATTTGTTGTTGCCAACCTTGCTAGTGGTGTCAACCTCGCGTTCTGTCCCAAATGACTGCAGCTCCATCTGGTGTTGCCTACTGGAATTACGTTTTTCTCATTTCGCTGGCATGGAGACGAACTCCAGCTGTTGCTACTCCTACTCACGAAACATTAATCATTCATACCTTCAAGTGGCGACATGGATGCCGATACTCAGCACGCACGGAGTCTTCTAGGGTGTTTTCAGGGCAAGGGGAATTTGAATTGTCGAGTTTTTGCATCCCGTTCCCTGGGGAGGATTGCGTTGTGTGTTTCAGCGGCTATCCCGCGGCCCACTGCCCCACACTATCAAGAGACCCGGGCTTTGACGCAATCCACTTCGCTTGTTCGGACGAAAAGTGCGCAGTGTTTCACAGCTTAGTTTTCTCACCAACAAGAAAGAGATTTGGCTACTGGATACCAACCTCCCCGTCATTCCCTGGCAGACCCTACATGCACTTGGGGTGGAACTCTCTCCTCTCTCTCTCTCTCTCTCTCTCTCTCTCTCTCTCTCTCTCTCTCTCTCTCTCTCGCTCGCTCGCTCGCTCGCTCTGTTCGTTTGACGTACCACGTGCACGTACAACGTGCTGCTTTCTCTCTGGCGTTCGGATCCCCCGTACCCCTCGCCCTGCATACTTCAGGCCAAAAGCAGGCCTTTCGCGCTCCTCAAGAGCCTCGAGCCTCCGAGAGGCCCCGACTACTTCCCGATGGAAAAGTTCCGCAGACCGTTGTGGCCGGACGACCATCGCTTTGGCGCAAGCGGTATCGGTGCCGGTGGTGAGCGCGGACACGGCAAAGGACCTGGCACAGCAAGCGACCGCCACATCTCGCAATCCTTCGCCAACGCTAGAACCAGTCAACACTCGTCCCCTTTTCTCCACACTCCCACGTCGGGGCCCCGTGGAACAGGGGGGGGTATGGTGTCCTTCAGCCCAGCGTTGTCCCGCGCGTCGTCGACGATGATGACTCCGGTCCAACAGACCCAGCAGCAGCCGGGAGGGTTCAGCATGTTCGGCGGGAAGGCGTATTCTACCCCTGCGAGCCACGGTAGCATCAGCAGCCAACCTCCGCTATCATCGCACACCCCGATCGACAGCAATACACGTACTGTTGCCCCTGGCACGATCCCTTACGGCAGTGGCGGTAGCAGCGGCGTTGGCGGCGGGTTGGCTCGATTCAAGACGCTGGCACAGGAGACCCAGGAAGAGGATCACAAGAAACAACAAGAGAGACGAGGGGGCAGTGGCAGGGGCAACAGCAGCGGATGCGGTATCCGCGACTCCACCGTGCGAGGGATGCCCTCGCCATCGTCGAATTTCCTCGCTCCCTCCTCGTTGATGGGGTCCCCGCCGAATTCTTTGACCCCTTGCGACGACTCGCCCTTCTCCTCCGCGGCATACACCTTCACACCGCCTTCATCAGCCGCCCCTCCTTCGTACTCCAATTGGCCTACCGGCCCCTCAACGGCAGCAGGGCGGAAGAGGCCGAGAGCGCCAAGCACTGCTACAGCTGCTCTTGGACGGCCAATGACGCCAGGGACGGTACGGTCCGTCGGTGGTGGCAACCTCAGCGCCGATGTTTCGGGAGCAAGGACCTGGGGTAGCCTGGCCGAAGGCAGCAGAGGCAGGGCAGGGCAGGTGCAACAGCAACAACAGCATCGGCAGCCGAGCCCAAGGCCGACTGCCGCGCGCGGGGCATCGGGGGCGGCGGCGCTGGCGGCGGCGGCAAACAGCGTCTCCTCCCGATCCCCGCGGCCTACTGGGAAAGAATCTTCGCCGCAATCGCCCCGCCCGTCACAGCCCTCGCCGACGCCCAGGCGGTACAAGTTGGACGATTTTGCGGGGGCGGACGATGTTTGTTTCAATGCTGGTGAGTTCCTTTTCGTGTGGGTGCGTTTTGCGCTTGGAGTGCGTGTTACCGGTTATTTCCGTGTGAGGCGCTCAAGCTTCGGCAAGCGATACGGTTTGTGCTCATTGCGCTGGCGGCGACGACACGATAAGAACGTTGCGGCCCGTCAGAGTGAGACTTCATGTCACTTGCAGCAGCAATTGCGAGGTGGTAGGGGTGACGATGTTGGTGCTTCGCTGCTTTTTTCCCGGCGCTGACGATCGAATGTGTAGTCCGATATCGCGAACAATGGAATCGAACAGCATCGGAAGAACCCTTAGCGACAGCACCAACCCTTAGACCAATCTACACAACACAGCAAGCACTGTACAGACGTCAACGATGGGCCGTCTTCCACCTTATCCCGCCACCTCCCCCGCCGTTATCCTGCCGCGCAACTCAGCGGCATCCTCTGAAGGATTGGCGATTTTTCTAGAGAGGTGCGAAGTGAGCGGGGTTGCATCGCTGTCGGTGCTCTGGGCCGACCTGACAACAAGCTTTTCAGCGATGACCGTCAAGAGCTGCCTGCCGAGTCAAAGCTGCTTCCGATGGAACTGCGCTTGCGGTAGACAGGTATGTGTGCGTCTGTGTTTTTGTGTTTGTCTTTTTTAGGCAACCCCGACCGCGCTGATCGGCTGACCAAAGAAGGGACGTTACTCTTAGAGCGGGGCACATGAAGCCCGAACGTGTTTTCTGTTCTGCGTGCCCCCCCCCCCCCCCCCCCCCCCCCCCCC